CAAGATTGGCCTGGGCCACACATCGTCCTGTGCAAACTGAACTGAACTGAACTGAACTGGGAGAACTGAACTGAACTGAACTGACCTGACCTGTTTCAAGGTCATTTATCTGTCCTTGAGAGATGTCTGATAGGAGGGCGGAGCTAGAGCAGAAGAAGGCGAAGTTGTTAGCGATTCGCGAAAGTAAAAAGAAGAGAGATGAATCCCGGAAGTTATTCTCGGATGAGAAGCTTTCGGATATCAGTCACAATAGCTCCGCGGCTGATTTACGACAAACTACTGATGAACTGCTAAAAGATCTCGGTATAGCTACTGGTGATGAAGTCAGTGGGAATCTTCCTGACCAGGCAATATATGAAAACGGATTGTCAGAGTAAGTACGCCGAGCGGCTATTTCTCAGAAGAAGGGTTCCAGCAATCTTACGTTTACATGCGCATTAGCGCTTTAGGGTTACTGGGTGCCGTTAACTAATCGTTTAACAAGTGCTTATGTTGGAAATTTTTTATATCTATAGAAGTCAAATTTCAAAGGACAATGAGTGCCGCTTTTGTGCAGTCCAACGTCATTTTTAAGAACTGGCAGGTTTCATCACCTCGCGCTCGCTCGTAATCGTTTTCAGGTCAAAGTAGAACTTACCTCAGTTTAGAGTTTCTCTTGGTGACTGTAATTTTGTGATACGAATCTTAAGAATTATCTCATCGGTGCCATATTTCACTGATACTCCTGATTAATGTTATAGAATAGTAGTACTTCTTAGCCAATATTATTATTTAACACCGGCTGGCTTGTAGCCTCATANTATATATATATATATATATATATATATATATATATATATATATATATATATATATCACATTCGTCTGATGCCAGACTGTGCCAAACAAATCGCGGTACAACAATCTTTTTAAAAAGAAAAACTGCACGATTTGCAAGCGGGCCGAATATAGCCAGTTGCCCAGGCCAAGGCAAGTGAGTTTTCTTGGGGAATCCACAACCGGAGCCTTTGGCTAACCAAAGTCTAACCTGCAAGGCAGCGGGGTGGTTTGCGAAAACCGCAATCCATTGGGAGCCGATGTCCAGTTCATCGATCATACGCCTTACGGATTGAGTCAAACGCCCAAGGTGCCCAATCGAACCGGTGACCACTGCCGAAGACAGGAAGGTGTGCGTGTGGTTCATACGCCTCCCCGTGGTCGGTTTGGAATCAGGGTTTTTAGTCAACTCCCCTAGGTGGACTGTCAGTGGTTCACCAACCCGGTTATAGCCCCGGATGTCAGCTTTTCGTCCTCTCACTTCCTTGCCAAAACTCCTCCGCCACTAAAAGGCAGTGAGTAGGACTTCCTCAGTAGAAGCTGTCTGAGACACTTGGTCGTATGGGAGCATTTCGCGAGGTGCACGGGTCGGGTCACCAGCCGCGACCCCAGATACCCACCCCTGACCATACTTAGGATTTCGGAGGCTTGTAGCCATGCATGGTGCCAACGCTACAGTAATAATAACAATAACAATAATAGGGGATACGTGGATTTGAGTACAGAACAGTGGAAAGAGGGAGGAACAGTTAAACGCTGAAAAATGGAAGATAACTGGGATTACAAAATCTTTTGTGTTTCGCCGTATATTTTGATAGTGATAGTGATAGCGATGTTCGGTATGCGCTTTGCCCCTTCAAAGTGTAAAATGCTGCTC